AAAAAATCACGCAAACCAAAAGTTTAACTTTGATCCCTCAAATAGAATTTACGTTGTGCACGTTCATTTTTTCCTAATCTTTGCAGCCGTATTATTTGAGAATTTCCATATGATTTTGTTCACACCTCATTTGCAATGAGAGGAAGAGTATCTCACAAAAAAGCATATTAGCGCATTATAGGCTGATGTAGTAAAGGAAAGGGTGATGATAAGTAACAATTTATTTAAGATACGGAACTGCAGGATGACTCTTCAAATCACGTGCTACTTCGAATAATGGCCAAGTCGTAAAGCGGTAACGCGCAAAAGTCTATGGCCTAAAGATCTTAACATATAACCGACTAAACTTTTACTACTGTCCGCTTTAAAACCCTATGATCCTTTAGGGTTATCAGGTTTCATTTTTGACATTGCAAACAAGCCTTTTCTTAGAAAAGAAATTTTTGATAAAAGCTTGCGCTGCGCTAGTCTGAGCAGTCGGTGGACCGCTAGGGCAAATTGCAAATGCCGAATTTGCTAATTTTGATGACCCAAGACTTCAAAATCAAGAAACTTTTCGCAATATGATTTCAGATTAAAAACCAAATATGTCAAGAAGAGTTGAAAAATGAAAGTTCAAATGGCAAGGACTGAAAGTTCCGAAATGCACGACTTAGACATTCTCGTCAAATATGCGCCTATCAAATCAAAAAAGGACTGATAGCTATGTAGCCATAAATTATTTCCCCATTGCTGTTTACAAAGGATAATTATGTATTTAACTAGAATGAAATATAAGCATAAGTGATCTAGAGAATACAGAAAGCTATCAAAATCGGCTCGCAGTTGAGGAAAGCCCAAGCTTTTCATGATCCTAAACACATGAACGAGTAGCTGGTTTAGATGACAGTAGCTGAGAATTGTCGAACTCTTAAGGGTTGTGATGTGTCTAAAAAACTTTGTCCAAAAAAGAACAATAAGGGTTCCAAAGAATAAAAGCATTCTTTTTATATTTTTGGCATTAGTTTGTGAGCAATGATTACTCGTGCTATAATTACATAGAAGGAGAAGATGTAAAATATATGACCAACAACAAATACACTCACCAAAAAGCTCTAAAACGTTTGCACTGGAAGACACTTCGTAATTTGTCGTCTACAAAGAAGAATCGCTTGTCTTTAGGATCAAGAAGATTGTTTGTTTTGATATATTCCCACATTTTTGCGATAACCTGCAAACAAATCCAATATATAAAAATGATAGAGATATCTGGTAAACTCACATCACATCTCTTCATAAAGCGTGCTCCTACAATGCTCTGCAATTCCTCACTGAGCAAGCACAGCTTAGTCATACGGCCAAATTTACCAGAATTATCCACTTTCGGGGCGTTTTTGTCTTTCTTTTTTGGCTGCAAATTGCACAAATGAATAGACTAGTTACGTGATTTCTATTTTCGTTTAAACCGTGAGAAAAACTGAAAATAAAGTTGCGAAACGGACGAAAATCGCAACGCACTCTTGAACGATCCGCGGTCTTTTTTAGGATTTGATTTGCTTTGTTCGCAGCCGCTCGACGACAATGCTTCACTGCAGTCATAAGATCCACTTCGCCAACATCGTCGCCCTAAAATTGAAATCAGTGGAATGATTTCGTTAGAGGTAAAAATTATAGGTTAAAGCGAGTTGATCTAATTATTCAGATGAAGTTTTGCTACACCATTACACTTGCTTTACAAAAATCAGATAAAAACTTTGGGAAGGTTAGCATAACAAGTATCACTCATTGCCTAGAATAGAAAGTAACCTTTCTTTTCCGCGACCTTTTCTTCTTCGTCGATGCTCTTCTGTCATCTACCACATCATCGGAAGTGTCGCTATCAGAGTCAGACGGCGCCGGTTTGCTTGGTTCCTCGGTTCTAAATCATTATAAGTAGAAATTTCTACCCCTTTTCTGGAAGTGATAAGAAAAACAGAATTATCTAACAAGCTTACCTCTCGTCTTCTTTACCATTTCCATTGTTTACAGGGGGCGCTTCCTTGCTTTTCTCCCTCCTTTCAATCGTCTCCCTTGTCAATTCGTCCACTTCTTTGCGGAAATCGTCAAAATCCTTGTTGAACGTCGACTAGAAAAATGAGAGCGGGTGCGAATATACGAGGTTTTTTCGAGATTAGGGTGAAAACGAGCGTACAGCGAGATGCGCGCGAATCTTTGAACTGGTTAACTTTTCGAGGCCTTCGGCATCGATCATTTTTCCGATGGCTTCCATGGCAGCCTCTCGCTCGACGGGGAAGGCGTCCTCATCAGAAGACGACATCCTCAAAATAAATTTGTTGCTGTCCAGAGGCCAAAGTCCACCTAAAGACAAACGTTGAACTGAAATGCAGGGACATTGTAAACAAGCGTGCTAATTACCAAAGCATCTGTTGAGTAAATGTT